AGTCTCACTTTATCGCCCTTGGTAGAGTGCCGTGGCTGTCAACCTCAAACTCCTGGCTTAGGCGATTCTCTTCCCTCAGTCTCCTGAGTAGCTGGGACTACAGGCACCTGCCACAACAACCAGGCTGTTTATTGTTGTTTATTGCAGCAACAATAAAAAAAATTATTATTTTGTTGTTGTTGTTGCAGTTTGGCCGGGGCTGGGTTCGAACCCACCACCCTCAGTATATGGGGCTGGTGCCCTACCCACTGAGCCACAGGCACCGCCCCATATCATCTCATCTTATTCACAATAAAATCCAAAGCCTCTAAAACCCTATATAATCTGGTCCTTCCATACTTTCTCCACTTCATCCCCTTACTGTCTTCTCTTTCCCTTTCTTCCTTACTCCATTCCATCATATCTGACTTCTTGGCTATTCTCCAGACACCAGGTCTGCTCCTGCCTTAGGGCCTTTGAACCTGTTGTTCCTGTATGTAGATGCTCTTTCTCCACATATCTACATAGTTTCTCCTGAGCACTGTGTTACCAGGAAACTCATAAGTTGAAACCTAATCACCAGTGTGGTATTGTTAGGAAGTGGGACCACTGGAAGGTAATAAGGTCCAGAGGACAGAGCCCTCATGGACTGAGTTAGTCACTTACAAAAGACACCCCAGAAAGCTGTCTTGCCTCTCACACCACATGAGGAAACAGCTAGGAATGCCCTCTAAAACCAGGAAGTGGGTCCTCAGTCTGCCAGCTCCTTGACCTTGGACTTCCCAGCCTCTAGAACTATGAGGAATAAATTTCTATTGCTTACAAGCCACCCAGTTTATAGCAGCCCAAACAGACTAAGACATCCTCAGCAAAATGTTCCCTGACCATATCATCTGTAACATGACACCTTCTAACATATTACATCACTAACATACTTATTATCTGTCACCTTGTACTAAAACTCCTTGAGAGCAGGAATTTTTGTCTGTTTTGTATTCCCAATGCCTAGAACAGTGCTTGACATATGGCTAGGTTTGCAATAAATATTTGTTGATGAATGAATACGTTAATGAATAAAAGATTTGGAAAGCTAATCCTCACAGCAGTTATAATACTCATTATAAATTAATAAACTGGTACAACTGGTACTGTTTACTCTTCAGTCTTTAAGTTTCGTGAGCATTCATCAACCTCCAAAGACTGACCACTTGTAGTTTGTCACATTTCTTTAAAATGTGGCACTACAAACTGAACATCATTAAATATGATGGCCTTTTTACCTTTTAAGTTGGTTAAAGCACTCTTATTAACACAGCCTAAGGTAGTTATTAGCATATGTTTCAACTGAGTCTCAGTTCCATCACACATCAGACAGTAGTGCAGAACCATCAGTTGTTTTTGTCTAAAATGACCTTATTTTTAAGATTTACTACTAGAGGCTCACCATTTTTGAAAATTTTAAACCTAAATATTATTATTATTGTTATTATTTTTTTTCTTGAGACAGAGTCTCAACTATGTTACCCTGGGTAGAGTGCCATGGTGTCACAGCTCACAGCATCCTCAAGCTCTTGGGCTTAAGCCATTCTCTTGCCTCAGCCTCCATGTAGCTGGGACTACAGGTGCCCGCCACCATGACCGGCTATTTTTTGTTTGGAGATGTCATTGTTGTTTGGCAGGCCTGCGCTGGATTTGAACCCACCAGCTCCGCCAGTGTATGTGGCTGCACCCTAGCCACTGAGCTACAGATGCTAACCCCAAACCTAAATATTAGATTGTAAAATTCCATCTTGTTAGTTTAAGTTCATCATTCAGGACTGTTCAGCAACTTAAATCTAGACCTATCCACTGTTACCTATTGCTCCCATATATTATGGACTTAGAGACAGACA